CTTGGTGGGGTTAGTTCTCATGAGGGCGTCAGGGCCTGCCGGGGTGGTCATGACCTAACTCGACATCTTCCCAGCATGGCAGAGTCATAGAATCATCTGTCTGCAGGGAGAGAGCCTGGGGGGAATCGAGGCGTGACGTGGACTCCAGCCCCTTATGAAACCTCCCCAATCTTCCTGCTCCGCTGACAGGCTGAGAAATCGCTTCCACGTTTCACTCCAGATCGTCCCGTCTTCCAGGAGACAGGGCAGGGAAATGGCTGTGCTGGAGCCAGCTCAGGTAGGGGATTTTTAGAGAGCTTTTGGTGTGGGGGAGGGGTATTGCAGAGGGATTAATCACCCGGGGTGGGACAGGGTGTGATAAACCTGCTGGAACATGATCCCACTGGCCAGAGGTTGCTGTGAAATATGAAGGGAAGCTGTTGGGATTCCTCTCCCTGGCTCAGAGCTCTGCTTCCCGTATCAGCCTGTGGCTGGCAGGCCTCTGGGAAATGAGAAGTCCCTGCCCTGCTCTGTGTGCTGGGGGGGGGAACAAGGAGCTCTCACCTTCTCCCACCCCCTGAAGCCTCCTGGCTGCTCTGAGCAGGGTGCGGGGAGGATTCTGCTTCTCTGGCCCTCCGCCCCCATGACAAGGGGGATTGTGGCTGGAGCGGCAGGTTCTCAGTGGGGGATTCTTGTTGTTTCAGATGCCGGTGACCTTCGAGGACGTGGCTGTGTATTTCACCCAGGGGCAGGGGGCTCTGCTGGACCCTGCTCAGAGAGCCCTCTACAGGAATGTCATGTGGGAGATCTATGAAACGGTGACCTCGTTGGGTAAGGGATTCCTGGCTCCTTGGTTATTTGAAGCTGGAGGGGGGTCTGTGTGTCTCATCACTCTCCAATGAAACATGGCAGTCAAAACCTAAGACACATACTAAATCATCCCCACCCAACCCCCGAGGCTTGCAAGGTGGAGAAGCCGTGTATTGTCCTGTCTGTGGTGTTTCTCGGTCGCTCACAGAATCCCTCTTCTCCCTCCTACTGGGGAACAGCTCCAGAATGTGGAGGGCTCTGGTTTGCGCAGGTTTAGAAATAGGCAGGGGTTTAACACTAGAGCTGGGTGTGCATCACAATTCCCCTCACCTCCCCAGATGTCTGCGCCCCACCCCGAGGGGGCTCAGTGGCCACTTTCTTGTCCTCTTAGATTCCACATTCCCCAGCACAGCACAGGGACGGATTCTGCTCACAGAATGTCCTTTCTGACAGATGCGCTCTCAGTCCTCCACACACCCTGATCTGGTCTGTTTTCACTCCCTGCACAGGATTCCCCATTCCCAAACCTGACCTGATCACTCAGCTAGAACAAGGGAAAGAGCCATGGGTGCCCGATCTTCAGGCCTGTGAGAAAAGAGAGATCCCGAGAGGCGCCCAAACAGGTGAGGACTGACACACAAACCAAGGAAAAAGTTGAGAATCCCAAAAATGAGGGATCAGTAAGTGCCCTCAGTTCTTCCTCATCGCATCCAGGGCAGGGTTCCAGGCAGCAGATATCACTGATTTCGCTTCGCGTGTGTCCTGTTACCTGCAGGAGTTTCCTTCCCAACTTTCCTTCTCTGTAAAAGTTTG